AGTGGACCCCAACTCAACGCCTGTCCATCCCTTTCCACAAATGACGTTACCTTAAGCCACCCCCATTATAACCTCCACCAAACTCCACGCTACTTACCATTAAAGTAGTAGCCTTCAGACCCTTCAGTCACACATCACAGCATGAAACATTCAAACTCAACCCTCACTCCAACCCACCATAGCAGATCTAATTTTGTGTGATGAGGAAAGAAAGGGTTTCCTCGTCCTGCAAAGTAAGATAGATCTATTGACAAGAACATTTCATTTACATCTTCAACATTCCTGCCCTCACCCACCCAGTCCAAACTCTCTAGTATACCTACACTCGAAGATTAAGAAACAAACCCCCTAGCCCCCCCTTTTTACTGATGACGCTAATCGTCCAGTATCACATCTCTGGTTCCAAAAACACCTCAAAGTTGTCCACCTCTCAGGATTTCCTCCCGAACCAATCTCCAGCCATTCATTCAGAATTGGCATTATTAAAAGGCTTTCCCAGCACCAGATCCAGACCCTCGGTCATTGGTTCTATGAAGCCTTTCAAATCCTACATTCGCCTCAGTCTTTTCATCTCAAAGAACCCAAGTTGTTTCTTTCAAACCTCTCAGCCCAATCTTTGCCACCCCTTTATTCTCAAGCCAAAGCCATCTATCTGTCCATCCCTAGCAAACCCCCTCACGGCTCAGACTCCCGCTGGAGTAAATATGAGCCTCAGCTCTCGCAGAGCTTAACATGACCCTCTTTCTGTTCCCCCTGCCAGCATTGAGTTTCTCTGCTGTTTCCTCCTAGTTCTTTACTCCCTGCCTTTGACTCTCATGTAATCTCCTTGCTACATCAGCATTATCCTAAGCCCAGATTTCGCAGGGGACAACATGAGCTTTGGCTCTGACAAGAGCCTACCCTATCACCCTCTCCTTTCTGTTCCCCCTGCCAGCATTGAGTTCCTCTGCTGTTTCCTCCTAGTTCTTTACTCCCTGCCTTTGACTCATGTAATCTGCTTGCTACATCAGCATCACCCTAAGCTCAGATTTCGCAGGGGTCAACATGAGCTTTGGCTCTGACAAGAGCCTACCCTATTACCCTCTCCTTTCTGTTCCCCCTGCCAGCGTCGAGTAATTCCGCTGTTCCCTCCTAGCTCTTTACCCCCTGCCTTTGGCTCTCTAGTAACCTCCTTGCTCCATCTGCATCACCCAAGCTCAGACTCTCGCAAGGGTCAACACGAGTTTCGGCTCTCGCAAGAGCCTCACCTTTCACCCTCTCCTTTCTGTTCCTCCTGCCAGTGTTGAATGCTTCCACTGTTCCCTCCTAGCTCTTTTACCCCTCGCCTTTGGCTCTCTTGTTACCACCTTGCTCAATCTGCTTCAAGCTCAGACTCCTGTAGGGGTCAACACAAGTTTCGGCTCTCCCAAGAGCCTCCCCTTTCACCCTCTCTTTTCTGTTATCCTTGCCAGCGTTGAGTACTTCCGCTGTTTCCTCCTTGCTCTTCACTCCTTGCCTTTGGCCCTCCCATAACCTCCTTGCTCTATCTGCATCACCCTAAGCTCAGACTCCTGCAGGGGTCAACGCAAGCTGTGGCTCTCGTAAGAACCTCACCTATCAACCTCTCCTTTCTGTATCCCCTGCCAGCGATAAGCGCTTCTGCTGTTTCCTCTTAACTCTTAGCTCTTAACTCCTTGCCTTGACTCTCAACTAACCTCTTTGCTCCATCTTAGCATCACCCTAAGCTCAGACCCCCACAGGGGTCAACACGAGCTTCGGCTCTCGCAAGAGCCTCCCCTATCACCCTCACCTTCCTGTTTCCACTGCCAGAAATGAGTGCTTATGCTGCATCATTTTATTTATTCTGTATTGTCATTCATCAGTATCTACATTTTGTTTAATCTGTATAGTAGTTCATTAGCATTACATGTTATCATATTCTGTATTTTGCATAGTAATCTCGTTACCTCCAACAGCTCTCCCCTTTTTCTTTCCCCCCTGTCAGCGTTGTATGCTCCCTCTGCTTTAGTATCTTATTGCATAAATTGTATATTCTGTATAATAATTGTTGGATATTTGTGTTTCTTACAGCTGCTCTCCCCCCTTTTTCCTGCCCTGCAGCATCAAGCACCTTTGCAGCTCCAATTAATTTATTCTGCATAATGGTTATTGTTATATCTTGTATTGTATCATTTGCATAAAAATTGTATAGTATATCTGTTACTTCAGCCACCTTGCCCATTTCTTTTCCCATTCCAGTGTGGAGTGCTTCCGCTGCACCAGTTTATTTGTTTTCCATATAGTTATTGATAAAATGTCTACATTGTTCATTCTGCATAGTAGTCCATTTGTATTTCATGTATTTTATTGTGTATTTCTGGATAATAATCACGTTACTCCCAGCAGCTCTCCCCTTTCCACTTGCCAGAATTGAGTGCCTTACTGTTTTCTACCAGCCCTTTACTCATTGTGTTTGACTCTCATCCAACCTCCTTCCTCCACATTGACATCACCCCAAGCTCTGACTCCCGCCGGAGTCAATAGGAGCTTTTGCTCTCGCAAGAGCCTCACCTATCGCCTTCACCTTCCAGTTTCCCCTGCCAGTGTCGAGTGCTTCCGCTGCATCAGTTTATTTATTCTTTATAGTTATTCACCAGTATCGGCATTAACATGTTTATTCTGCATAGTAGTTCATTAGCATTTCATGTTCTGTATTTTGCATAGTAACCTTGTTACTTCAACAGCACCCCCCTTTTTCTCTCCCCTTACCAGCATTGTGGGCTCCCGCTGCATTAGTATCTTTCTTATTGATTATTTTGCACATTATGCATAGTAATTGTATAGCATATTTTTGTTAATTACAGCTCTTTCTTCTGCCAGCGCTAAGTGCTTCTGCTGCTTACTGCATTTTATTATGCATAGTATTCCCTAATGTTTCATGTTTTTATTTTATTGTTAATATATTAAATCTGTGTTAATATCAGCTTCCTTCCCCTCTCTTTCTCCCTGCCAGTTTCTAGCAACATGCCAGCACTGAGTGCTTCTGCTGCATAGCAGTTGTATATTCCATACAGTAATTTCTATAGCATTGTTTCCTCCAGCTTCTCTCCTTTGTTTACCCCCAACAGCTTTTTATGCTTCCGCTACCAAATCTCTTCCCTCCTCTTAAACAGCCAGCTCCACACCCTTCTTTATTACATCTCCTCACAAACCTTCTCTTAAGCACTGACTCCCGTAGAGGGCCCATTTAAGCCCCAATTAACACACAAGTCTCCACCCACCCTCTAAGCCACTCAGACTCCCTTAGACTTTCTAACTTTATTTCTTAGCCACCAAACCCACCCTGCCCTTCACACACTCCCTAGAAAGCTTTTCCCCCACTTTTTATCAGTTCTTCACATATATATCCAGCAGCCGGATATAGCACTTTTTCTTTGCACTTTGGGGAGTTCCTGTGTAAACACGCGGCTGCTGTCCCGAGCGCTTATCATTGGCTTTTTGGGGAGTTTGAGATAGACCTGAGCTCAATCTCCACTCGCCCTGCAAAAGGGGGGGAGCCCTGGGCTCGAGGATCCCTTGAGCTCAGGGCTCTCTCCCGGGACAGCATGCCAAACAAGCTATGTATAAATCATGAGCTAAGTGTGAACTCTTGAAGTGAAGTTTAGTTTTAAACTAATTTCGAGAGGAGCATGTGCTCATGATTTACCCAGCTGGTCCACATTAACTAATTATGATCCTCCAATCGAAGGATCCCAAATCACTATATATATCCTCATTTCCTTTCTACAACTATCTTCGTCTGGAAGAAACCCCCCTCCTCCCCTTCTTCCTCCTTTATCCAGAATGGGCGGCACGGTGGCCCAGTGACTAGCACTGTTGCCTCACAGCAAGAATACCAATGGTGTTGGGTCCTCGCTGAGCCATCTGGTATTTCTGTGTGGAGTTTGCATGTTCTCCCCGTGTCCGCGTGGGTTTCCCCCGGGTTCCCCGGTTTCCTCCCACCATCCAAATGTGCTCTATATTATAGATAAAACAAGCCTTAACCTTTTTTATAATGTCTTACTCTCAGGAAGTTCGCCTTGGCCTCAGCAGCGGGGGAGTTTGAGATAGACCTGAGCTCAATCTCCACTCGCCCTGCAAAAGGGGGGGAGCCCTGGGCTCGAGGATCCCTTGAGCTCAGGGCTCTCTCCCGGGACAGCATGCCAAACAAGCTATGTATAAATCATGAGCTAAGTGTGAACTCTTGAACCTTTCAAAAACGGAAAAAGAGAAGGAGAAGCCGGACAAAACAAACGAGCAAAATGTTTCAGAAACCTGAATCATGAACAAACTGCCATGTTTATCAGCGCTTTTTGGACTATTATGAGCTGGGAAGGTCAGAATGACTCTCTAACAGAGTTTACATGTGCTGCTGAAGATTACAGACACAGATGAGAGGTTTTCTCTGACTGTGGGCTATATTGTGTGTATATTTGTGTGTTTATTTGCGTGACTAAATGTCTGCTGTGTGTAGTTTTTCTGTCATTGGTAACATATCGGAGACTGTAAGGCTCTGTATGTGTTCATATAATCATTGATCTGCAGATATAATCAAATCATGTTCATAGAAAGGTTAGTAATAAACATTTATAAACAAGTATTTATGTGTGTAAAGCGTCTGTTTTGTGAGAAGTGCTTCTCTTATGATATGTGAACGACCTGTACGGCTTTACTGTTGACATTTATTCGAGTGAGATTGACGTCGACTGAAACTTTCTGTCGTACACCACCCTTGGTACCCTTTAGGCAGTGGAAACGCAAACCTGATAAAGGTGATCAATAGGGTACCGTACGGTACCAGTCAGTGGAAACGGGCCATTAGAGGTAATAATTTTGATCAGATGTGCAGCCTTAATGTATATCGACCTGATATTAACCAGTGTTTATTACATAAAGTACTCCCTCAATTCCTGAATTTCTACTACTTTATATAAAGCAGAGGAAAGGGCGAAGAAGAAGTGAAAGTGGAAAAGTTGTAGTACCTGTTGTTTGACCGCTGCTTATTTCACCTGTGAATTAACCAACATGAGCAGAATTACTTAAAAGTATAAAGAAAAAATTAAATCAGATTAAAAAGAACTCACTATATAAAAGCCTCACCATGAATCAGGAGCAGCGACACACACAGTGACATGAAAAACCTCATAGTGACGAATGACACCTGCACACACACACATACTATCAGGTGAAATATTGGTTTACATTGCTTTTGTTATATTTTTGTTTATTATTTGCAAGAACAATTTAAGTTAGTATGTTCACCGATGAACAGTAAAGTCTTTAAAGTGTAGGAATAAGAGAAGTGGCTTTACCTTAGACTAGAGCAGATTCTCTCTTCAGCAGCTTGACACAGAGATGTTGATAATCTGCAAACCTCACGATCATCATACCTTTGTTAGTACCTGTGGGAGGACCTTTACTGGAACCAGAAGTACTTTTGAAACAATGCAGTAAACCAGTTATTCATATTTCATCTGTGATCAGAATGTTGGTAACTTAAGTAGATTGTGTTATTGTATCTGGCAGCTCTCACGCTGATATTTTTTCACTTGTGCTTGAACAGATGCAATGAAATGGCAACTAGTCGATTTGAGTTGAATGTGTGTAGGAAAAGTGCTATGCAGATAAAATCTTTTATTATTATTATTATTAATTTTATTTGTTGATTGATAGTATCGATATCCCTGTCATTTAGAAGAATGTTCTCTCACAGAGATGTGTATGGAATGGTGAAGAGCCAGTTTGATTTGTTTTAGTTTACCAGAAGTCTTATGCTGCATTCCAGACAACTCAGAATTGGAAGTTTACTTCCTACTTGGAAATACCATCTATAACGCCGCTTGTTGTGAAAACGTGACTGTGATGCGCCATAAACTGGAATGCATGAGGTCGGAAATGGGACATTTCTGTGCTGAATTTCCCACCTCTGACTGTTTATGGAACGCTGCGTTAGATTTAGAGTTTATTAAGATGAATTGCATACACAAAATTTGTGCATAGTAATATTGAATAAAATCGCTGTCATAAATATTTCGTGGGTAAACAAAATTCATGCATTTGTAATTATAAAATCGTACAGGAAAACGGAACGTACTCGTAATTTTACGAGGGTAAAATGACAAAATCTGAGATTAGAACAGACACAGATACAACATTTTCTCTGTCTGTATGTATATAACTGATAAATTGACGATGGGTGTACTTTACGAACACGAAATACAGTTTCACCACAGACACAAAGACCTGATTACGAGTATGAATCAAAAAGCGTCACTCGACTGTCAAAATTACGTCACCACTGCCACAGGCATTAATAAATAAGCGAGAGCCATCGATCACAACGGTGCGCTTGCTGGGCACTCGAGCCAGGCCCGTGCAGAGACTGTCCAAAGTGCATGTGCAGGATACACATGTGCAGCGCCTACTGAAGGGCGGTATGTGTCGCAGGGGCACTTTTGATCATTTTGGAAGGGCACTTTTTATCCAAGACTATGTAACCCAGGTAAATTAAACATTACTCTAAGTGTTAAATACTGGATTTTATTTTGTTTTATTTTAAGGATTTTATGTATTTTTTCCGTTTTAAATAAAGTGGTTATTATAGCATATATTATATATTATGTATGCTAGATCCTATCATCTAAAAATCGTTGGTCTCAAGACAATCGTTGTTCCTGCTGACTGCGCTGGACGAGTTTGCACCTGTTGTGTCATCTGCTCGAGTCGTCGGCGTCGCCTGGGTCAGCTGGATCAAGCAGAAGGATCGGTTTGATTTGTGAGTACACTGTATTTACTCATCAGATTGAAGGGGCATTTGATTTGTGCCACAACGCTCCCAAGCATCGTCCAGGCCTGCAACGAGGGGGTGTTTGTTTTGTTTATTTACATTTTCCCTTTTTTTCTACACCCATATTGAGTCTGGGCCCAGTGAACAACAATACTCTTAATTGAATGCTGTGTGATATTGAATATAGGGAATTAACCATTTGCCTGTGACTGTTCAGTATTAAGGTCTTTATTGGTGAACATTTAGCACTTTTATAAGTGCAATTAAATGGTTCTTGGTTATTTCTGTTGTAAGGAGAACTATTTATTATTGTTTCAGGACTTAATGCAAAGCTATTTTGTTTATACTCATAAATAGTTAGTTATTTTCAGTCTGACATTTCAGAAACAAATTATATCACTATAAAGTGACTGTTTTATATTGAAATAAGTCAGACCCATATATTTTTGAAGACATTTATTTTGTTTTATTATTTTTGTATTCTTGTCATGTTAGATGAGAGACATTTATAACTACTGGGAGTTATTTTGCTATTTATTTTATTTTTATTCCATTTTATTATTTTTTTTCCACATATGTTCAGTTAAACAATATATTACAACTGGCTTAAAGGCGAATTAAATGATCTGTTTTACTAAATTTCATTTTTTGTCATTTGTCTAATTGCAAGTTTATACAGTTATTTTGGGAACCCAGAGCCCTCTTCTTGTGTCCAGTGAAGAGAGTGCTACAACTAAAAAGGGCATGTGCACTGCACAGGTTGAGCCATGTGTGCACGTGCCTGACTCGAGCTCCCACACACAAAGATGTTTGTTATTCCCTCTTTGAGAAATATCCGTCATGACCTGTAATAATATATATATATATATATATATATATATATATATATATATATATATATATATATATATATATATATATATATATATATATATATATATATATACTATAAATTCAGATACACTACTCGGCTTGCATACTGCTTTTAGTATACTATATGGAAGTATGCAATTTTGGATGCAGCCTAGTATTCTTGAACACCTTGACTGTTTCTCAATGTGCGTTCTTCAGCGGTCTTGCGTCCTCGTGTAACGTCATCATCAGCTGCCTAAGTTCAGTTCCAATACTCAAGACCGCAAGTACGGAGGACACGTGTAACTTCCCGGATGTGTTCTGATATCGAGGACGCACTGATGCAGACTTGATCACCGAACTCGCTCTGGAAGTCCCAGAAGTCATTGCGACTGGTGGTGGGACGCGCAGCATTTTATTTAGATTTATTCCAAGATTTATTATTAAGTTCAGAGATATCATTTATTTACCTCAGGAGTTTCCCTAAATGAAACGGTGAAAGTAAACATTACCATGAACATCTTAATAAAGGAATAAACACATTAAGAATGTTTTGTTTGCTGAAATTTGTATTAAAATCAGTTTTATTTATATTGTGCAGAGTATATTTATGTTTTTATGCACAGTATATATTTTGAAAAAGGGAAAAACTATAAATCGTTGTATGAATGCTGTGATGTTTAAATAATTTACCATTTAAAACGTGGGAAGGTGATGTGACCATCAGGAAGAATGCAGCATCTCATTTCTCAAAGGACGCATTCTCTGCCCTCGCAGACTCCTGAGTTCGTTCTTCCGAGGACACCTGGCAAGACCGGTCTCCACAAGAACGCAAGTCCGTTCTCTGCGTTCTTGGAATTAAGAAACAGCCCATGATTAGTTCAATCAGGTGTGTTTGATTAGAGTTGGAGCAAAACTGTGCAGAGCTGCGGGCCTCTGGGAATATTTGAACCCTATTAATGGTCATTTAATGGACCAACTTACTTTAATTTCAACATGATATGACATGTCCATGTGTTTTCCTGCTTTCCAGATTCTTATTTACTCTTACTCGAGTAACTTTTAAGATTTTTACTTTTACTGGAGTTAAAACTTTCTCAAGTACTTGTTCTTTAATTTGAGTATAGATTTGGTATAACCAAAATGTAAGTCTGTATGTGAGAAAAATGTAACGTGAGGAAAATGTAAACGTAATAAAACATATCTGGCTAGAGAACTTTTAGACACTAGAGCATTCTAGTGTGTGTGGACTAATCCTGGAACAAAAAGTATATGCTTCAGGTTTATTTGAAATATTTGTAATGTGATCTTAAGGTGTTTCTTTGCATACATCTGTCATTTAGGAGGACGCTTTTTCTGTACAGATGATCACAGGTTTACAGCCAATGTACTTTCCATTTCTACTGCACATGGACCGTTTGTTTTTGTTTTTTTTTATAAAAAGTTTGTTATTGAGACAATTGCAATAATCAGACAATTAAAAGTATTCGAGCTAAAGGAAACACAGAAGGGAAATGCCACTTTTATGGTTTCACAATGGTTAAATCTTGAATCTTGTCTTTTATACTACATTAAAACAGCAAAGTAAAAACTGTACTGTAAAGTGTTGCCAACTAAAGTCCAAACAACGTTTACTGAGTGAAAATGTTGCAAAAGAAAAAAAGGCAAAACTGAACGTCACTTTAATCATGGAACTGATTTATTTTTCCTCATTCACCTTTTGAATCTTTATGCACTTATATTAATTGCCTGAATCAATTAACATAATGTTTTTACAAAACAATCTATCTTAGCTAATTACATTTTGTCAAACTTAAAGATAATGAAAATCATGACACAGAACAACAGATCAACCATAATAATGTTTTGGCATGTTTTTATTATTTATTTTTACTATAGTACATCCTAATAAATAAATTCAAAATCACATAATGTGTAAAATAATGTGATAATTAATCACATAATGATAAAATAGTGATAAAATAATCACATAATGTGAGGCGCAGTAGGTAGTGCTGTCGCCTCACAGCAAGAAGGTCGCTGGTTCGATCCTCGGCTCAGTTGGTGTTTCTGTGTGGAGTTTGCATGTTCTCCCTATGTTCGCGTGTGTTTCCTCCGGGTGCTCCGGTTTCCCCCACAGTCCACAAGACATGCGGTACAGGTGAATTGAGTAGGCTAAATTGTCCGTAGTGTATGAGTGTGTGTGTGTGTGTGGATGTTTCCCAGAGATGGGTTGCGGCTGGAAGGGCATCTGCTGCGTAAAAACTTGCTGGATAAGTTGGCGGTTCATTCCGCTATGGTGACCACGGATTAATAAAGGGACTAAGCCGACAAGAAAAGGAATGAATAATTTATGAAATCAGTGTAAAATACTGTCAAGTAAATTTCTGTGCCTCATAAAACAATATTTATGAAATTCAGAAATACCACAGCCAGTTCCACATCCATTAAATAAACCTAAATGTTCCACTTTCTGTGTCAGTAAACTAGGACAGGGTCAAGGCACTCATCAGAGGAATGAACAACAGCACCAGAGAAGCACACAGACAAGAAGCCTCAGAAACCATCACTTGGTCTGGGAGAAACTGAACATCTGTGAACAGAGAATAGAATGATAAGATGAACTTATTTACCACTAAATCAAACATTAGCTCTAGTCTGTTTGAGAAGATTGAAAACTGTGTGGTAAATCAGTAAACTTTGACATCAGAATATAACAGTATTGCACTATTATCAATATTTTACTTTAAACATCGACACTGATTCCCTTATTTGTTTTATATGTCATTGCGGAGGCAAAAATAGCTTCAATGTAAAAAGCTCAGTTCATTTAGTTGCTTTATAGAAAGGTGGTTTAACAGTAGCTTAAGGTGCTTTCACACTTGGACCGAACCCAACCGAACCTTGGATCGTCCCCCCCTTGCCACCTTTTAGTCTGGTTTGTCTTCACAATGTCTTTTTTCCTTCTGAACCCCGGGACACTTGCGTCATGTAGCTGCTGTTTTGTGTACGGCGATTACTAGGTGGCGGCGACAACAGAAAATCGCCAAAATGGAGACGTGCGCATATCACGGTCATTCTACCATTCTACCATTGTTACCAAAACCAAAAACAGAGTCACTTGCATCTATTTGCTGCAAAACATTAAAAACATTCAGAACATCACGCACGGGATGTCTGCAGAAGCTGTTTTTGGTGAAGACAAGCAGACATTATCACTGTCTGTACTGGGTCAGTCCCGCTTGTCACCAAGGTAGGTGATACAGACACACACCCAAATTAACGTTATGAAAGCTGAAGTTTGTTGTACAGTTGGTGGTTTACTTCCAATATTTGGTACGATTGCATTCATACCAGAAGTGAACCGTACCAGAGTTTGCACGAACCATACAGTTCACGGATGCACGAAGTTCAGAAGACACGTTCAAATTAGCTAAATGTACCATACTTTGACATCAAACAAACCCGGGTGCAGACTAAAAGTGCCAGGGTGAATGCACCTTAAGCTACTCATCAGTTATGGAGCTCCAGTTTCAGAACCGCTTCCCCAACACTGCATTCAGACATATGAAATGCTGACCTGTGTTTCCTCCAGACCACACTAGAGGACCCATAGATAGTGACGCACTGTCATGGAGATCCAGAGCCCTGCGCTCTCTCCGCTGCTCTCCAGAGTCACAGCTCTAGAAGAGAAAAGAGTCAAATCCAGCTGTGCAAATCCCTGATAAACATCACTGAACAAACACAAAACCAACAGGAGTGCACAAAATCCCCAGCAGAGGGCAGAACAAACATGTTTAACAGCCTTCATCATTAAACCTCAACACCATCATATCTCCCTGTCTGTGTTTAGTGCTGAAACATCAGTGGGAGATTCTGAAGACTTTTTAAACTCACCGTTGAGCATTGTTCACTGGACAGAAGGCAAAGGTGAACAGCACAGTGCAGGTAAAGCTTAGTGGAGTTTGCAGTGAAGATGAACATCCTGAAGGAGAAACGGCTGCTTGTGGAGACGCCGTTCTGCAGCAGCTTCACTGTGTCGTCCTTGGGATTGGGACACCTGACGAGATCAACAAACCACAATCAACAAACCAAAATATTTCATCAAACGCAAAAGTGATTTCCAATCAACCATTTCACAAAAACTGGAAAGTTGAATGTCTAAAACACTGAAAAAATACAAACCTCAGAGGATTCCTAAAGACACATGGATTTATTCAAAAGTTGATTTTAAAAAGTGTTGTGAGTAATCACTAATCTTTAATGAACAAAGAAGTCTTTACCCTTCAGTGATGAGGTCCCAGCGGAGACTGTAATCAGGGTCATTCACAGGTGTAGCCCAACACGTGTCCATCACCAGGGCAAACTGGCGGCTGTCGACCCCCTCAACACCAACCTCCACATGCATCTCCTGGTCCAGCTCTGCATCCACTCTACCAGTGAAGGGCTGAGTGAACTCTTCATCCACATACGGGACCATCCGCACCTGATAAACCCCTTCACCAGAGGGGAGGACCTTGTGCACGGTGCTGTTTAATTCATGGATACATAAGATCAACTAGTTTATGCTTATATTGAACAGCTAAAATGCGTGAACTTGTCTAATAAAACAGTCAAACTGAAAGCAGAATGAGTGTGTTGTGGCACCTCTGCACTGGGTTGATCTCCGCGTTCATGGAAAGTGTTTGTGTTTGAGGATAAACACAGCTGAAAGAAAGCTTCAGGATTCTCACTCTGCTGATGAGACCTTCTGTTCCCGGCGTCCCCACAATATAGTTACTGTAGATGAAGTGGCTGCCGTTGGCCTGCGGACAACACATATACAATTTATGTTTTTAATTTAGCTTGAATTGAGTATTTATTTCTGAAGGAATGACACCAATTGTCAAGAGAAATAATGGTTTGTTATGTACTATTGGTGGAGAGTGTGGGCAAAAGTGTCAATGTGTTTGGCAGCATGTCGTTCTCCACTCTTCATCACTGAAAGACTTTGAGAGCTGTCTAGGCATCTCAGAACCTGCATTCTCTGTCCAGTTCTCTAGAGCCATTCTGGATTTGGCCTGCCCTGCTGGAGAATCGATCCTCCACCTTGCCATTGCCACTGCCCTTTTTATTGCCCTATTTTTTTTTTCAGTTTATTTTTTACTAAAATCCATGATCTGCTCTCGATTTCAGCAAGTTGCTGAGTCGTTTTCTTTTCGCATATGTAACGGAGGCCAGCTAGTGTGTGCTGTAGCCTTGGTAGAGCATCCGACTCCCATGCGGAAGGTCGCTGGTTCGATACCAGCTTGGCGCGGGTTGGGTGGCGTAGGACCGGCGGGATTACAAAAATGTCTGCCAAAGTTCAACTCAGCATGAATTACTTGTTAAGTTTGCCATGTCATTTGCTTGATTCATTCGATTCATTTGCGCAATCAAAAAATCTGAAAAAAGCATTCAACACACATTGTATGAAAACAAATATAAACACACAGGTAGTTGATCGTACCACAAGGTTTGTGCCACAGATGTGTTGATCGTTGTCGAAGTTAAACTCCACTCTGCCGTTCTGGACGGTTCCTCTGCAGCTGGGGTCATTGAGGTGTAAGTGCTCAGCTGAAAAACCAGCTTCAAAAAGCTGACAGCGAGACACAGACATGGAGCCAGAGCTGCTCTCACAGGTCTCATTGAAATCTGAGAGAAAAACATGATCATTAATGACACAAAAACACCTTTTATTTCACATTTGACTGTAGAATCACACACTAACCAAAGGAGTCTTGAGCTGCTCGCTGTTTTTGGTGGCCTTTGTTACATAAACAGCCATAAACACCATTTTTCATCCCACACCTTTCCTCTTTGGAGCAGTTGAGTTCAGGACAGGGGTTTCTGACATCTAGATGGACAAGTTAGTAATGTTCATTATTGCAAGTTTTCCTGGCTGACCATTGGGCCACAAAAATAAAACCCACACCTTAATATTTGGTGATTTTTACTGTAATGTAATAAATAGCACTTTTGTAAAGCTGCTTTGAAACTAACTGTGAAAGGTGCAATACAAATACACTTGCAAATTACAATTTAGTAACTATTTTGTTTTTTACTGTACTTTTACTACGTTTAAATGCATTCTAAGCACCTCACATATAACAGTATTAGCAGATCAGCTCCACAGCACAATCTTTACCTAAAATTAAACACAAACTTGCAGTCTGTTTCCTATATCTAGTGCAATCGCTAACTTTTATTTTTTTTATACATAACGTTACTACTAAGCACATAAACATACACTCATCACCTCTTTTTTATTAGTAATGTAATCATTTAAACAACAGCAGCAGATTCTGACACTCATAACACTTTAATCTGAGCAATAATCCTGCAGATTGTGATTACCAGATATAATAGTTGTGCTTTCAGCTGTTGTTTCTGTTGTGGTCGTCTCTGGTGTGTCAGTTGTATAGCTAGTGTTAAACCTCACATCTAGAAACACAAATAAATGTCAGACAGAAAGCCATCATCCCTAACATAAACAGAAGGCAGAGTTAAATGTGTGTCCAGTACCTGCACAGTATGCTAAATTGCAGGTGGTCGGCCTCACAAACTCATAGACATAAAAACCTCCAGGACAGGCTTTGACTTGAATGGGATTGGACTGGAAATAGCAGCAGTTGTTGCCCCAGTGTCCGCAGACATTTCGAGAGACCACTCCATCCTCAAGTGTTGGATGTCCTCCGCTCAGCCACAGTGGAGCATCAGTGCCGCAGCTATACTCATCAACACATGTGTCTGGCATCTGAACACTCTGACCATTAATGAAGAGACGGTACCAGCCGCTCCAGCTCACCGCTCTGTCACACATTAACTGAGAGTTTTCATTGCTGGTGGCTCTCCATGGCTCATCCAGGATCAAGAAGTTATTGCAGGGGTCAACAGGGGGATCTGTTGGAAGCAATTTTATTATTAGTTATGGTAGTTTTTCTGTTTATAATCTCATGATGGAACATTAAACAGGCAGCATTAAATTTTATTCTCACTGATTTGGACAGCAGACTGATTACACTGTAGAGTTGACAGAGCGATGTCATTAAAGGGTCGTGCAGTCTTATATTTGAACAGATTTGTTGAACATCTGTTAGGGCGATGTTAGCATCTATTAGCTTTAGTTGTTAGCGAACAAATGGCTAATATCTTTTTTTAATTTCATCATTATATCGGGGCAGCATTATTGGTGGTGATGTAGCAAAGGACTGCAGCTTTTTAATGAAGCTGCTTCTGAATTATTTAATGAAGCTGTGAGACCTTGCAGTAGTTAGTCTTTCATGATGGTTCATAGTCATGGCAGTGTTGTCAACTTCTACGAGTCTGTATTGACATATTAAAAAAGGGGGATTTTCTACATATAGAGCCTTGCCAGGTGGTTGTTGCTAGATCGAATACTGTTGCGGCCAGAAGTTAACTAGAATTATTCATATTATTTATTAAATTTCCCATTTATTGTATTTTATTAACGCCTACCCCCACCCTAACCCTAAACCCAACGTCACAGTACTGTAAAATTATTAATTATTGTTATACAGTGTCATAAAGAAATGCTGCAATATTAATGTGCATTTTGCACTTCCAGCCAGCCACATATCTGATCAAGCCTTCCTTGGCAGGTAGCCTGTTTAACACTGCTGATTGATTATGAGCTCAACAGAAATGACTGTATTTGACTCGAATGACCAACAGTTTACAAGAGCATTTACAAGGACAGTGATCCATCATTGAAACAGCATTCATTGACATATATGACTTTTCTGTCCCTTCAAAGTATGTGTGTGTGTCTAAATTTCAAAATAAGCACTCTTTAAATATTAAAATCTTACATTTCTTCAAATTTTGCTTCTACATTTTTGTCAGAGTCAGTATAAGGCACTAACAGATGACGATTGTTCATTCTCCTTTCTTTCACTTTAATTCTACTCTCTCTAAAGAATTCTGGCACAGATTTGGCATAACGCTGGCACAGCAGGCATTCATCCGGGACTGGCATACAGCATGTGGGCCAAACATGGCCTGGGTTTGGCAGAAGTGGCATCGTCTTTAACGCGGCACATAAGATTTGGACCAGATGTAAAACGTAGTATTTGGCCCAGATTATATATATATATATACAGTTGAAGTCAGAATTATTAGCCCCTCTTTGAATTTCTTTTCTTTTTTTAAATATTTCCCAAATGATGTTTAACAGAGCAAAGAAATTTTCACAGTATGTCTGATAATATTTTGTCTTCTGGAGAAAGTCTTATTTGTTTTATTTCGGCTAGAATAAAAGCAGTTTTTAATTTTTTACACACCATTTTAAGGACAAAATTATTAGCCCCTTTGGGCTAATTTTTAATTCGATAATCTACAGAACAAACCGTCGGTACACAATAACTTGCCTAATTGCCCTAACTTGTCTAGTTAATCTATTTAACCTAGTTAAGCCTTTAAATGTCACTTTAAGCTGTATAGAAGTGTCTTGAAAAATAGCTAGTAAAATATTATTTACTGTCTTCATGGCAAAAATAAAATAAATCAGTTATTAGAGATGATTTATTAAATTAAATTTATTATTAACTATTATGTTTAGAAATGTGTTGAAAAATTCTGCTCTGTTAAACAGAAACTGAGGAAAAAAATAAACAGGGGGCAAATAATTCGGGGGGGGTCTAATAATTCTGACTTCAACTGTATATATATACATATATATATACATATATATATATATATATATATATATATATATATATATATATATATATATATATATATATATATATATATATATATATATATACTGTATCACCATAAATTAAATAAAGGTTAAGAATTTTCCAGCTATATAGCGATTGAGTCAAGAGCGGAGTTTGTGATTTCATTATATTTTGTGGCAAAGACTCTAGAATACACAAGACATGTCACTCATATCTTCTTAAATGGGGGAAAGTGTAATGATCAATATGGTGGATAAAGCCTGTACTAGTACAGGAGCCAATCATTGACTGTTATATGGCTAATAAAGCCCGCCTTCTAGTACAGGAGCCAATCACTAATCGCTATAGACTGACTATACTCCAGGGGAGGGGAACGTTTTGGACGTTTAGAAATGAAACTAAAGGGACAGTTGTTGTTTAAATTTATTGGTGATTCCAAATCTGTAATGTAATCGTAAGCTTGGCAAGCAGTTTTGGAGAATTTATTATTTCCCCATTTGAACAGAATGCCTGAGCATACTGCCGGAGAGGCGTTTTAAAGATGGCCGCCGAGTGAAATAACTTACATTTACATTTACATTTAGTCATTTAGCAGACGCTTTTATCCAAAGCGACTTACAAATGAGGACAAGGAAGCAATTTACACAACTAAGAGCAACAATGTGTAAGTGCTATAGGCAAGTTTCAGGTCTGTAAAGTCTAAGAAGGGAAGTATTAGTAGTATTAGTTTTTTTTTTTTTTTTTTTTTTGGTACAGTTAGTGTGATATTCAGAGAGGCAATTGCAGATTAGGAACTTGCCTTAAAGGGACTTTGGTTGTGGTTTGTTTAATTTTAAAAACAAACACAGCAGGAATGAGATGTTTTACTTTAAGACGCAGCACAATGAGAAGGTTAAAAGCAGCACAATTTCCTGAGTTTTTATGTTTTTTGGCATAACCGATTTAAAACTTGGACAGGTGGACATAATTAGTGGTTATAAATGAGTCTTACCATTGAGAAGCTAAACTCAATTTGTGTGGAGTAACTTTCATTCAGATGTTTAGATATGAACACTACTCAGATCTCCCAGGTGACTTGAACATGTGCTCATGCTCTGGCATGCGGCTCACGTCACTTTCATTTTCGTGTGAAAGTGTCTCCCTACTTTAGTGCTCATTAATGGCACATTTACTCACGGGGAGACGTGTTTCAGAAAATGGACACTTAAGTGTCCCAATTTTTAGGGGTAAATTTGAAACTCTTCCCATTATCACTCTTTTATAAGGGCCAAGGAGAAGGGGTAGGGGTACAAAAATAGAATTGGGATTGGGCCCTAGGCCGTACTTGGGCACGCTTACGTCATGGATGCTGCGCTGTTCAGTAAGCACTCTCGCTCAGCACAGAGGAGATTTCTCTAGTTATATGGTTTCAGTCGTTTGATATGCGGTGACATGCAGTCAAACATTTAGCCAAACAGATCCGCCCCTTTTGGCGCTCATAAACAATCATAAAGCCCTCGTGCTGCAGGAATGAGGAAGTCTGCAGAAGGTGCAGCTGTCATGCAGTGAGGGGTTTGCATCTTTAATAATCTAGGGCAGTTTGCGTTCATTGAATGGTAAGAATGATAAATATATCCATATAAAACAGTCCCTTAAAGTCACGTCTCACTTTCAGTTTCGGGCTTTGGTGCATTTTGCACTCACACTACAGGCATACCACGCCAAAGCCCAAGTGAACCACGCTCTGGCCCACCTCTTCCAATCAGGCCAGGGCCGGCCAAGTGAACGTGCCTGAGCCCGATTTAGCGCACTCACACTTCTCAAACAATCCGGGAAACGGGCTTGGGCACGGTTTGGATAGCATAGTAGGCCTTAAGTCTTGCATCCACAAAGCCAGTTCAGAGACTCTTTAAAGGATTGGGCAAATTGCTAAATAAAATTGTTTCATTTAAAGGCAAAACTGAAAAAAAAACATCGTTACCTTATGTATATTGAACCATGGAGGTCATAACAATTATTATATTGAGTATTGTAGCATCCATATTCTACATCATTATGTAATAAGAAAGAAAGATTTACCAGTGGTTGGTGGATTAATGAAGTCTATGGATGTGATTGGCTGGGTTGTTGTCACGCCTGTGCTGGACTGGTTTGTAGATTTTGGTACTGAGAACAGTTTTGTATCATTATAAGATATTTTCAAACAAAATCCAGAAAAAAATACAAGACTGAAGTGCACATGAATAAATACTCACCAACACAGTAAGCTGAGCAAATTCTCGGCTGTTTAAACTCATACACATAATAATCTCCAGGACAGGCTTTGACTCTTATAGGGTGGGATGTGTAAGTACAGCAGCCATTCGACCCAGAAGCACAAACATGACGGAGGACCACTCCATCTTCCAGCTGAGGGTGGGATTCATTCAGCCACAGTGGGTTATAAGTGCCACACATGAACTGATTCACACATGATTCTGGCATCTGAGTACTCTGATTGTTGTAGAACAGCCTGTACCAGCCATTCCACTCAGTGTAATCACATCTATAGTTATTGTAATAAGAGTTATCAGTGGATTTCCAAGGTTCATCCAGGCTGGTATAATTGTAGCAGGGGTCGACACTTGGGGTGGTGAAAGATAGTACTGTAGAAGAAAAAGAAAACAAGCAGAAAATACTGAAGATTAAATTTTTAAATAAAACATAATGAATTAAGTTTATGAGGTCTGTATTGGTAGGTGTCACATGAAAGTCCAAACAATACTCTGACAAAGCATTTCAGACACTGTGTAAAGAAGAATATACCTGCACAATATCTTGGAGCTGGAATTGAAAGAGTAGGCCTGGTAAACTTGTACACATAATATTCTCCAGCACAAGCTTTGACTTGGATTGGGTTGGATCTGTAGCGATTGCACTCATTATTACGGCAGCCGTAAACTTCACGAGTAACAACTCCATCTTCCAGTTGAGGATGAGATCCATGAAGCCACAGAGCAGTAACACCTCCACATTCCATATAAGTGGCACACCATTCAGGCATCTGAGCACTCAATCCATTCATGAGGAGTCTGTACCAGCCGTCCCATTCATGATTGTTATCATATCCATTTACATCGTTATACACAGACCTGTAAATAGATGTGCTCCTCCAGTAGTTGTCAAGCGTGTTGTAGTTATTGCACGGGTCATAATCTGTGTTAGTGAGAGATTATCAGATCAAAACTGGCACCTTTATTTATATAATTGTGTGTGTGTGTGTGTGTGTGTGTGTGTGTGTGTGTGTGTGTGTGTGTGTGTGTGTGTGTGTGTGTGTGTGTGTGTGTGTGTGTGTGTACTACTTACTGGAGGTGATTCCAGTTATTATATGTGGACTTGCAGTGGAAACCACCTGTGAGATAGTGCTGACATCTGATTTAATAACAACATAAACAAATAAACATTATATTGGTAATGTATAATCATAACTTAAATCATTCTAAATGTTTGAAAGACTTGTGGAAGAAAGAACAGTACCTATGCAATATCCTGAACACCCCATTTGTGGATTCACAAGTTCATAGACATAATAATTTCCTGGACACGCTTTCACTCTGATGGGGCTTGATTTGCTAGTACAGCAGCCGCTCCAGAAAGAACTAGCACAGACTTCTCTGGTCACCACTCCATCCTCTATCTGAGGGTGAGGACCATCGAGTACCAGATTTGTGTATGTGTTACAGCTGAATCCAGTAGCACAGGTTTCTGGCATCCGGATGTCCATTCCATAGTAGAAAAGCCTGTACCAGCCACTCCAGCCAAAAGGTTCATCACAAATGTAATCTGCAGTTTCATTGTTGGCTCTCCAGGGGCGATCCAGAGACTCATAGTTGTAGCAGGGGTCACTGCTGATGCTTGGGAAAGCAACTGTCATGGAGATTTAAAAAGTAATGATTAAATACTGTACACACATGAATGATTGTAGAGTAGTAGTAGACAATAGTAGTGTTGCAACCCAGAACTCAATATTGTGTATTTTTTGTCATTTTGAGTAATTACATTGTAATCAGTGGTGGCAATTAGGAGTTTGCACATTCACATCACAGCCCAGTGAAATAAGGTACAGTTACGATTCCTCTCCATCATCAAGCATTTTAAGGTTAAGAATTCATTTTAAATCCAAAAGCACTGTGATGATAATTCAGCATGGTCATATACAGACAGTGTGCATAAACTGTTAAAAGGTTTAAAGTTGTGAGTTTAAGTAAATCCTAGGTCTGTGGGGACCTTTGCTGAATTATTAATGTTTAACAGACAAACAGACAGTTTACAGACACCAACAAAAGTTTTGAAAGTTGAGAAGTGCACCTGCACAGTATGAAGGTCTGGGGATCGACAGATCTGGCTTGACGAGTTCGTAGACGTAATAATCTCCTAGACAGGCTTTGACTTGGATGGACGTGGATCTGTATTTTCCACACTGATTGGACCAAATATCCCCTCCCAAAACATCACGGGTCACCACTCCATCCTCAAGTGTTGGATGAGAACCGTTGAGATACAGTCCAGTGTAACCACCACAGCCCATATTACTCACACACCACTCAGACATCTGTGCACTTTGTCCAGTCAGATACAGCCGATACCAGCCGCTCCATTCAACCATGGTGTCATTATGGTCAAAGTAGTACCTTATTCTTATGTTTCGCCCGTATTCATCAAGAGTGGTATATTCATAACATGGATCAAAGCTGGAAGTAGTATGCACTGAGATGATCAAGAAAAAAAAAAGTGAATGTTAAACAGTGTTTTACTAAACACCTCTGTATGATAGAGTGTGATGTACTGGACAGTCTTGCAGTGGTGTAAAGTAATACATTACAAATACTGAAAATGTATAGTTTTTCTCAGGAATTGTACTGCAGTCATTTTAAAAATATGTACTTTAACTCTTACTTGAGGATTTTTATTTCTGTATCAGTGTTTTACTGCAATGCCTTCTCTCAACCTGCAGTCATGACCTATCTGTGCTTATTTTTTGTTGTTGCTATGATTGGCTAAGTAAAATAATCAGTCCTGTGAATCAATCAAAAGTGCACAAGCATCATCAAAAGTGCAACCTTTCAATGTCTCTAAGCACTTTATTTACCATAGTATGGGAATAATTTAGACCTTATCACTTCTAGGTACAAGTTCTTTTATCTAGCCAGCTGTGGACTAGGGTTTTAGAAGTAAGACACTACATTGGGAAAACGTGCTAGTTCCGAAGGGTGAGCGCTACATCTGATAAGCTGGTTATCAAGGACTCAGGTCTGCCTGACAAGAGAGAACTGTGCCTCGGCTAAATGATGCATATGGGATCACCAACGAGGATCACACATAGCTTGCACAGATCGATCACCAGCATGCGAGTAGACCAAGCAGGCATACCAGACATCATACCGGGTGTAACCACGGGGAGTGACACATACAACTGAGGTAGGATCAAAAATGCAGGTTCATTCAAAGTCAGGCAAGAAGTGGTCAATACAGGGGCAAACAGATGTATGAGGGAAATCCAGAGTCGAAGTCAAAATGGATTTTCCTACCACTGCTATGCTGATGATACCCAGCTATACCTCTCTTTTCACCCTGATGATCCCTCGGTTCGAGCTCACATCTCAGCCTGCCTGTCGGACATTTCATACTGGATGAGAGATCATCATCTTCAGCTGAACCTCGCGAAAACGGAAATGCTTGTAGTTTCTGCCAACTCGACTCTACACCATAACTTTTCAATCCCGATGGATGGGGCAAACATTACTGCATCCAAAATGGTGAAAAGCCTTGGAGTAACGATTGATGACCAACTAAACTTCTCTGACCACATTTTTAGAACTGCTCGATCTTGCAGATTCGCACTCTATAACATCAGAAAGATCTGACCCTTCCTATCTGAACATGCAGCTCAACTCCTTGTTCAAGCGCTTGTTCTCTCCAGACTGGATTACTGCAACTCTCTACTAGCCGGGCTTCCAGCTAACTCTAGCAAGCCTCTTCAGCTGCTCCAGAATGGAGCAGCACGAGTGGTCTTTAATGAACCTAAAAGAGCACATGTCACTCCGCTGCTCATCCGTTTGCACTGGCTGCCAGTTGCTGCTCACATCAAATTCAAAGCTCTGATGTTTGCCTGCAAAGCGACTTCTGGCCTTGCTCCTTCTTATCTGCTCTCACTTCTGCAGATGTATGTGCCCTCCAGAAACTTGCGTTCTGTGAATGAACGTCGCCTCGTGGTTCAATCCCAAAGAGGGAAGAAATCATTTTCCCGAACTCTCGCATTCAATCTGCCCAGTTGGTGGAATGAACTCCCTAACTGCATCAGAACGGTAAAGTCACTCGCTGTCTTCAAGAAACAACTAAAAACTCAACTATTTAGTCTCCACTTCCCTTCCTAATCTGCAATTGCCTCTCTGGATATACCACTAACTGTACTCAAAAATAAATAAATAAATAAATAAATAAATAAATAAAATTTTACTACTGCTTTCCTTCTTAGACTTTACAGACCTGAAACTTGCCTACAGCACTTATTCATTGTTGCTCTTATAGTTGTGTAAATTGCTTCCTTGTCCTCATTTGTAAGTCGCTTTGGATAAAAGCGTCTGCTAAATGACTAAATGTAAATGTGAAAATAACAGGCAGATGGTCAGAGGCAGGCGGCAAAAAAGGGCAAAAGGATAAGCTAGGCTAAGGATCAAAAACACGGCAAAGGCAGACAAAGCAAAACCGCTTTGTAATGTCACTATCAGTAAACAAGACTCGGCCAACTGAAAGGGTGAGTGTGTGGCTTAAATAGTAGTGCAATCAGTCTCTGACAATCCTCAGGTGGTGTGAATGTAATCAGTCTAGATGAGTAGCATGTGTGTCTGGGCGAAGTGCATGTTTGAATATGTAGTCCATCAAAGGCGGAAGTGTAGTCCATGGTTTGGTGAGTGAGAACCAGCGATCTAGTGGAATACGATCACTGGTAATCATGACACCTGGCCAGACGACAGATGAGGAACTCACTAAGCAGAGCAGAATAAGCAAACATCTCTGGGTTAAGAAGAATGGCGCAGCAAGCTTCTTTTTTTTTTGACATCAAGCTTAGTTTCCTCCCGATTGACAAGGATTATCCAGTATTTGAGAAGAAACTGGATCCACCCGAAGATTATAAAATTGTGATTGTGATTATATTCTGCATCACCCAGCCCGCAGCTCTACATATGTCTGTTAGAGAGGAACCGTATGCTAATGCCGAAGGAGGCAATACTCTTTGTTAAGTGTGCTCTTGCTCTCTGACTCTAGCATCAGCTATCCAGTGGGCCAACCTCTGCTTTGATATGCCACTTCTCTTCTGCTGACCATAATAGAAACAGATCTGCTTAGAGGCTTAGTGCACTCACACTATGCCATCCGAACCATGCCCAGGCCCGTTTCCTCATTTGAGAATTGTGTGAGTGCGTTGAATTGGGCTCAGGCACGGTTCACTTAGCTGGCCCTGGCCCGGTTGGAAGAGGTGGGCCTGAGTGTGGTTCACTTGGGCTTTTGCGCCAAAGCCCAAAACTGAAATCGAGACGTGACTTTTAAGGGACTGTTTCATATGGATTTATTAATCAATCTTACTGCCATAGTTTATTAAATACGCAAACCCATCACTGCATGACAGCTGCACCTTCAGCAAATCTCCTAATTCCTGCAGCACGAGGGCTTTATGATTGTTTATGAGCGTCAAAAGTGGCGGATCTGTTCGCTAAAATATCTGCCCTCTTGTCACCGCATCCCTAAGGACTGTTTGGCGAAATATTTGACTGCATGTCACTGCATATCAAACGACTGAAACGATATAACTAGAGAAATCTCCACTGTGCTGAGCGAGAGCGCTTACTGAAGAGCGCAGCATCAATGACATAAGCGTGCCCAGGCCCAATTGTAATGTGAGTGCGGGCTGTTGGGGGAGACGGGAGAGGGGACAAGCGTGCTTTGGCCCAGTTCGAGGCAACTGTATATAGTGTAAGTACGGCCTTACTGCAGTCTACATCAAAGTGCAGAGTGCGAACAGGATACAGCTATTAAAGGGCTATGTCTGCCTCCTCCACAGGCAGCGCTAGCAGGTTCACTACCTGATCTAAAAGGGTGTGGTAGGAACCTTGGGCATGGGGTCTCAGCATAATATGAGAGTAGGCCGTCCTGAATTCCTGACACCAGGAGGACAGCAATCCCCTTGCGCAAGACAGGGGCGGCTGCAGCATTGACTGCTGTGAAACACTGCTCTCTTGCATATTTAGTTTTAATAATAAGTGTAACAAACCAAGAGTAATGTACTTTACCAATAAACATTTCATTTGTCTGTATTAAAGAAAATATATATAAGTATGTATGTATATATATATATATATACATATATATATATATGTATATATATATATATATATATATCTATATACACACACACACATATATATATATATATATATATATATATATATATATATATATATATATATATATATATATATACACATACATACACACACACACACACACACACACACACACACACACATATATATATATATATATATATATATATATATATATATATATATATATATATATATATATATACACATATATGTATATGAATTGATCTGTTAATTGGGTGGCATGGGTCACCTGATAAAGGTGACCCATGCCAACCTGTACCATACTGTACCAGTCAGTGGAAACAGGCCACTAGAGTAAATCATTTTGATCAGATGTGCAGCCTTAATGTATATTGACCTGATATTAACCAGTGTTTACTACATAAAGTACTCCCTCAATTCCTGAATTTCTGAATTTCTACTATTTAATATAAAGCAGAGGAAAGGGCAAGGAAGAAGTGAAAGTGGAAAAGTTGTTGTACCTGTTGTTTGACCGCTGCTTATTTCACCTGTGAATTAACCAACATAAGCAGAATTACTTAAAAGTATAAAAGAAATGTCAACTCAGATTAAAAAGAACTCACTATATAAAAGCCTCACCATGAATCAGGAGCAGCGACACACACAGCGAGATGAAAAACCTCATAGTGACGAATGACACCTGCACACACACACAACACACATTCAGATCAAATTTTGGTTTACGTTGCTTTTGTTAGATGCGTTTTTATTATTTGCTAAATCAATTTGAGTTAGTATGTTCACTGATGAACATTTAAGAAAATAATTTCCATCCACTAAAAGCAGAAGAGTGTAAAGTGTAAGAGTAAGAGAAGTGGCTTTACCTTAGACCAGAGCAGATTCTCTCTTCAGCAGCTTGACACAGAGATGTTGATAATCTGCAAACCTCACGATTATCGTACCTTTGTTAATACCTGTGGGAGGACCTTTACTGGAACCAGAAGTACTTTTGAAACAATGCAGTAAACCAGTTATTCATATTTCATCTGTGATCAGAATGTTGGTAACTTAAGTAGATTGTGTTATTGTATCTGGCAGCTCTCACGCTGATATTTTTTCACTTGTGCTTGAACAGATGCAATGAAATGGCAACTAGTCGATTTGAGTTGCATGTGTGTAGGAAAAGTGCTATGCAGATAAAATCTATTATTATTATTATTATTAATTTTATTTGTTGATTGATAGTATCGATATCCCTGTCATTTAGAAGAATGTTCTCTCACAGAGATGTGTATGGAATGGTGAAGAGCCAGTTTGATTTGTTTTAGTTTACCAGAAGTCTTATGCAGGCAACTCGGAATTTGGAGTTTACATACTTCCTTCTTGGAAATACCATCTATAATGCCACTTATGAAAATTGTCTGTGATGCGCCATAAACTGGAATGCACTGAGGTCGGAAGCGGGACATTTCTGTGCTGAAATTCCCACCTCTGACTGTGTATGGAACGCAGCATTAGATATAGAGTTTATTAAGACTTATTGCATACACAAAATTCATGCATAGTAACATTTCTTTTTAAACCCACATCATCCTAAAGAAACCCTTAATGCTGAAAAGGTTCTTTGTGTGAGTTTAGGGTTGTTTATTTCCCGCCTTTTTGTTTTTCTAACAATCTGACAAAGCGCCTGACAAGCGACCATTCAACAGCTTAGTTCATGCACAGGAGGAGAGGACATTTACAAATAACCTAATAATGACTAATTAAACCATGATTTACCTTTTTTTTTGCCAAAAAGCCTGATAGATTAGAGGCTTTTTGGATCTATACATTAAAAGCAACCGGACTTACAGGTTTATATGAAAATTGAATTTTTCTTCTTTTTTTTAACAGTTTTTCTATAGATAGTTTACAGATTATCATCATATATTGCTGAATATTTATGTGTTTGTATATGCATTATTGTGTGTACATGTTTATATATGTGTACGTATATATATATATGTATATGTATATGTGTGTGTGTTTGTATGGGTGTATATGGACATGCAGTGTTTAAGCATATTTATCTGTACATATATGCTTATTAGTCATATATATATATATATATATATATATATATATATATATATATATATATATATATATATATATATATATATACAAATGCATATGTGTGTGTGTTTGTATGGGTGTATATGGACATGCAATGTTTAAGCATATTTATCTGTACATATTTGCTTATTAGTCATATATATATATATATATATATGTCACCGACTCGGTCCCAGCCATTCCCCTCGCTGGCCAGTAGAGGCTACCATCTCCGGACTTTTAGCATTACATCATCCACTTACACTGATCGCGCACACCTGTTCTCCATTCTGTTAATGACCCACGTACCCTTTATGAGCCGCACTCAAACCTTCATTCAGTGCGAAGTCTTGTTCAGCCCCGGCCAGCATTACTGAGCGTTATATCCTGCCTGATCTCCTGTGAATTATTTCTGCCCGTTTCTGACTCTGCTTTGCCTACTACCTGCCCACGACCCAAGCCTGTTACACAGACTCTGATACTCGCTACCTGCCCTTGACCCAAGCCTGATACGCGGACTCTGAATCACGCCGCCTGCCTCTGACCCATGCCTGGTAAATCACTCTGTGTCTGTCAGCCGCCAGCCTTAAGACCTTTATTGCTATTGTTGTTGTGTGTTCGCACCTTCGTGCGTATTGAATGTTTGAGTGAAAGTGTGACTAATACTGCATAATAGATCCTTCCGTGTGTGTGTGTGTTCTATATATGATATAGAACTAATAAGCAAATATGTACAGAAATGCGCTTAAACATCACATGTCCATATACACCCATACAAACACACACAGAATAATATATTAGCCTACTTTTGACTGGACGGCTCTCGTGGTAGTAAGGGACTGTCCTGGGAAAATTGGGGCATCTAATCACCCTTATGGGTGACTAAAACAGGGCTATTCAATATTCTGATTGGGCTACAGTCACCTTGAGCCACAGCTTAGCACTGGTGTCACTGTTTTTGAACAGCAATGAACCGAAAGGAACACTTCACATTATTTACGAGAGAAAGCATAACGCAAAGAGGCGTTTCCAGCGTCATATCGCAAATTAATTATTCAGCCAATCAAGGACCCCCTTCTTCCGTGGGCCCTGGGGGCTGGGGCTTCAGCTGCACCTAGCCCTTACATTAATCTGGCCCTGCCCATACCAACTATAGAACTACCCCAACAGATTAGTTCAACTACTTCACTCTAGTATGATTTAAAAACACTACAGTATTCACATTTACTTGCTGTTGCTGTAGATATTTTTGCACAACCAAGAGTTATAATAAATGGAGATTAACAAAGGCACAGTGCCACCCAGTGGAATCTTCTGCCTCAACATTCAACTTGCACATACTGTACATAGTTGTTGATGTCACTGACTGCTGAATATGTTTATCTGCATTCCTTAACCCTCTGGGGTCTGAGGGTGTTTTGGGGCTCTGGAGAAGTTTGGACATGCATTGACATTTGTGTTGTTTTCAGTGTCTTAAAAACATATAAATGGCTAAAGAGGGATAACACTGTAAACAGCACAAGTTGGGCTACATTAATACCTAAGCAGCATATTCGTATGTGTTTGTGTTTTTGAGAAAGAAACGTTTATGCGTGGTTAGTGAAAAACTGAAATTGTGAAGTCACACAGAGAACATTAGTGCACAAGACTTTTGAGAAATGAATGTTGTAGCCTAGTGTTTTGCTTAAAAATCATGTGGAAATCATCTTGTTCACTTGCTCACAGAAAACAATATAATGAATTAAAATTTCTAAGTCACTTTTTGAGTGAAATTGATTTATGCGAGAAGGCGTGAACTATCATTGCTATGCAGTGAGTCACACCTGAAAAGACAAAGACCTGCATAATGAGCCATCAGACAGGGATGTGACTAAGAGGGAAGAGTTTTAAGATGGAATCAGAGGAAAGTTTATTTTAGTTTATTACTTTATTACTTTTTTGTTTGCAGTTTATTTAAAATATTTTAATCACACAAAATAACTGGAGAAACACTTGTGAGAGTCAGTGCACTCTATAAAACTCTGCAAACTTTATAAACCAACATATAGCAAATCTACTGAAAAAGTTATTTGTAAATGAAGAGTTTTGTTGCAAAACGAGATTTATCCATTTTGACAAATGTTGGTTATTTGACATTTATTATTTAAGACATCAACAGTCAAGTTCATTCACAATATTTATACAATAAACTATTACCTGAGCTCAGTGAAGTCCAGGAACACAATATTCTTCAAACCCAGAATCTTTTTTATTGAACTTTATGTCCATAGATAGTTCATAAATGAATAAATAAATAAATGAATAAATAAATAAATAAACATGCCAAAATGCAACATATTATCTTTTTATCTATTTTATTGTCAAATATCTTAAATTGGTTTAAAAAAAACAATACATCATTAATATATGGAATAGTATACAAAGACTGAATAATAATAATAATGAGATTCTGAGTTAGTTTTGGTAATCTCATATTAGAGCAATCTTATTTTAAAGAATGATGATTAATCCATATTAACAAAAATAACTGAGCAAAAGAAATCAGGTGAAAAACACACCATGTGCGATAATGAAATCTTTTAAACACATCATTTTAAGCACATCACAGCAGCTTTTGGCGCGAGTTATCATCCTCTCATTCGGTATTCACAGAAATGATTTAAAGAATAAACTTACAAGAGACACTTAGAAATGAAGCCTTGCAGATGAGAAAAAAAGGCAGTATTTCACTGTAACCCCTGGCCTTGCTCTTGACATCAGCGGAGACTGACAGACGCAGGATTACTTTATCTTGGTCCACATTTGTAGCGTTTTTATACATTTTTGGGAAGTTGAAGGCTACATCTTCATCTAACAGTTTGTTGGCATGACACAGACCAACATTACTCGCATTACTGAGCAAACTCAGAGCACATCTTACCAACTTTAGGTAAGAAAATAATATTTGGTCGCTGGTATGGATTGTGTCGAACGTGGCTGGATTTCTTTGTGGCTTTGGACGTTAGAGTGGTAGATGGAAGTGGTGAAAGTCGTGAGATGCTGCAGGTAAGACAGCTTTGATATATATATATAGGGGTTTGTTCAGGAACTGATTTGATAATAATTGTCAATGACGTATTCGATACTGAAACTTCTGCGCATGCTCCTCCTGAAATTTGTTTACAAAACATCACTTACAGCTTATCCAGAACGCTGCAGCCAGGATTCTGACCAGAACCAGGAAATCAGAGCACATCACAGCTGTCCTCAGGTCTTTACACTAGCTTCCAGTTACACTCAGAATAGGGTTTAAAGTATTATTACTGGTCTATAAATCACTAAATGGCCTAGGACCTCAATACATTACAGATAGACTCACTGAATACAAACCCAACAGATCACTCAGATCTTTAGGATCCCATAAACTAGAAACTCCAAGACTTCAGTCAGCAGGGTGAATCTGCCTTCAGCTAATAACAGCGCCTCTCGCTGCAGGAATCAGCTTCCAGAAATAATCAGATGTGCTTCAACATTAGGCACGTTCAAATCCAGACTGAAAACACATCTGTTTAGCTGTGCCTTTACTGAATGAGCAGTGTGCTACGTCTGACAGATCGCACTATTGTGTCTTTCTTTTCTTTTTCATTCATTTATAACCCGTTTCAACACATTTGAATGTTTTCATCATTTTTACTATTTGTTGTTATTTTCTTAAACGTGTTTCTTTCATTCCTGTTTATTGTGTAAAGCACTTTCAATTGCCAGTGTGTATGAAATGTGCTAAATAAAAAAACTTGCCTTGCCTAATCTCTCAGTTTCTTAGGAAATCATCATAAAAGAAAAAAAATCTTCACAAAACAAGCTCTAACACAAACGT